AAAGTTCCAAACCCGAATAGATGTTCTAGGTTGCTGTTCTAGGTTGCTGTTCTAGGTTGCTGTCACAGTGCAGGAGCATTAGAACCACCAGGCACATTGCTGTTAGGCTACTTTATGTATAAAGTGTATATGAAGCGTAAGTGAATTTCATATAAATCAAATTTTTACAATTAGGATCTATCAAGGTATCTTATTTTGTATATGTGAATAATCCAAAAATCTGGAAAAAATTGAATCTGGAATACTTGTAGTCCCAAATATTTTTGTAGAAAGATACCCAGCCCTTAACATTTTATAAAAATATTGCTGTGGTGCCAGTGTGGTATAGCAAGAAAAGCTGTCAGCTGTGATGCCAGCGACACGTGTGGGCACCTCCTTGTCTCCCGACTGTTCTACTTCTGATTCGGCTCCCAGCTTTGGGAAGTGCAGCGGAGGATAGCCCAAGTATATGAGCAACTGCCATCCGTGTTGGAGACCTAGATGAAGCATCTGGCTTCTGGCAGCAACTGGGAAGTGAAACAGCAGATGAAAGAACCTGGTGTTACTCTCTGTAACTCTTTCAAAATAAGTTAATTTTTTTTTTTTTTTTTTTTTTAAAGATTTATTTTTATTATTTTTTTCATTGGAAAGGCGGATATACAGAGAGGAGAGACAGAGAGGAAGATCTTCCGTCCGATGATTCACTCCCCAAGTGAGCGCAACGGGCCGATACTATGCCGATCCGAAGCCAGGAGCCTCTTCCGGGTCTCCCACGCTGGTGCAGGGTCCCAAAGCCTTGGGCCGTCCTCGACTGCTTTCCCAGGCCACAGGCAGGGAGCTGGAAGGGAAGCGGGGCTTCCGGGATTAGAACCGGCGCCCATATGGGATCCCGGGCGTGCTAGGCGAGGACTTAACCACTTGCGCCACCGCGCCGGGCCCAAAATAAGTTAATTTTTAAAAATTAAAATTTTTTAACCAGCAGAATCAGCAACATAAGTAATTTTTGTTTATAAAAAGGGATAGGGCCTGGTGCAATGGCACAGTGGCTAAATGGTCACCTGGCAACCACCAGGATCCCATTTGGGTGCCAGTTCGTGTTCTGGCTGCTTCACTTCCCATCCTGCTTCCTGCTTGTCTGAGAATGCAGTGGAGGACTGCCCAAAACCTTGGGACCCTGCACCTGCATGGGAGACCCAGAAGCAGCTCCTGGCTTCAGATCAGTTCAGCTCCAGCTGTCACGGCCGCTTGAGGAGTGAACCAGCAGAAGGAACATCTCTCTCTCTGTTATCTCCTCCTCTGTGTATATCTGCCTTTCCAATGAGATAAATCAGTCTTTAAAAAAAGGAAAAAAGGATAATACTTGTTTTGCTTCATATTGTTATATTATTCCTTATGTGTTTCTAATTCTTTATAAATAAAATTCAAAAAAGGGTTGTTATAAAAAATGGAATAAAACAGTATGTATGATATTTTTTAATTTAAAAAGTACTAAAAGTAAGAGTTAAGTGGAAAAAGAATAAAAGAATTGTAATATATATAAAGTAGATAAATTTTAATTGTGAACAGTTTCTAATAACTAGTGGAATATTCTTAAGTATTATTTCTTTTACTTTATTGAGTCTTCTATTTAACCAAAATAATTTTGTGTTGCCCTTGTTGTCCATGCAAACCATAGTTAAATAGTTGTTTGTGGATAACCTGGCATCTTATGATCATTCTTACACTGGTCATAAACAGTTTCTAGTCAGTTTACCAAATCCTGCTGTCCCCCCTTGCTGTGGCCAGCCACATGTCAGCAGGCGTCTGAGGACACTGTCACTTTTTGCTAGGCCTTTCTCTATTGATCAGTGGCCCATTCAGTTCTGTTTGCATATTACTCTTATATTCTTCTTCTAGAAGCTTTTCCTCATCTCATTATTCCCCTGTTCACATAACTTGGCTGCAGTTTTGGCTTCGTGTTTTGGACACTCTGCTTTAGCTTCTCACTGCGTGGTCTGTCTGTCCCCTGAGACAGCTGCGGCTGCTCCTGACTGTGCTGCAGTAGTTTTCCTCAGCAATACTTTGTTTATATTTTTCTTAAATTTAGCATAATAGTAACAAACAACCTGACATTTGTGAAGAACTTCAGTCAACTTTTTTAGCACTTCCCACAGTCTGCCATCCTGTTAGGGTTTCTTGCAGTTTTAATACCTTGATTGTAGATTTTAAGCCTTGGAAGGTTATTATGACTGTATCACATGATTCAAAGTATCTGCTGTCGTAACTTAATGTGGTAAAATTCAGAGGTTAATTGTATTGTTAAGGTTACCTAATTGTTTAAACAGTGTTAAAACGAAATGCTGCATTGACCTGAAAAATGGATTTGAAATTATTGTATGGAAGAAAGGTTATTTTCTTATAAACTTTTATAAAATTTTATAATTCCATGTCTAAGTCTAATTCTAGTTGAGCAGGGGCTGGCTCAGTAATGCCCAGAGAACTGAGATTTTATTATAAATTTGTTTGCGGAATGAAGAAAGAGACCACATAGATAAAAATTGACTGACTATGGGGAGAAGTACAGAATTATTATGAATGATATTTTTCTATAGCATAATTATGAATAATTCATTCTTCATAATAGGTTGAACATCTGTTGGGTGGTGATTGGTACAATAATAACCCCCTTAAATTAGCACAGTGTAAAGGCAAGTAACATTTTGTATACTTTGTTGATTTACTTTTTGGCTACCTTCAGAAATAGCATTTTTAATTTTTGTTCTTTTAAATAATCAGCTCAATTAACCATTTAGAAATTTATGATCATTTCTCTGATTTATAGCATATGAGTAGAAAAATACAGTTTCAGGAGGGATTTAATACTGTTTATTGTTGCTTCTCTAAGTTTTTAATTTTTAATTCACACTATAAAAGATCACTAGAGATTTTGTAAAATTATTAGAAATACAATAAAAAATTACACATGGGGAAGAAGACCATCAAGAAGCAAATAAAAATATTTCAACTTTTTGTATAATAAACATGTAACAAATGTAACACTGCTCTAACTTTAAGTGCAAACTGAGTTCAATAACCATAGGTATACTTCTAACTTGTTTTTGAAAGTTGAATTTTAGCATAAATATTATTTTATTAAACATACTGTTTAGTGCATTAAAAAGTTATTATCAGTTGCCTAGTATTGAATGTACTGTTGTATACCTGAAAGATGATCATGATGGACAAAAATGTTTGTTAATTGTATGTTCCAGTATCAAGTGTAGAAAAAAATAGCAGCTTAAAGAGTAACCTTATAATATTTGCCATTTATTTCTTGTTTTGATTTCTTATTACAGAGGGCAAGAAGCTGTGAAAGCTGTTTAGGCAAATATATTAGAAATCTCTTTTTATATTGATTTCTTTGGCATGCTGATAAACCTGACAATTGAAAGACATTAGTAAGTGGTTTTTTTAAATAGAAAAACTCTAAAAAAGAACCTCATTTTATTATAATAATAAAGCTAAATACTAAAATTTTAACTTATGCCTAGGTGTCCAAATGTAAAATTCAGTTTTTAAAGGAACGTATTAGACTGTACTTTGTACTATGCGTCAAATAGAAATTTCCTTAATATTTTTTTCACAAAGTATTAATTAATCTTAATGTTTCCAAAATATAATCTTACTTATTCATAGTATATTTTCGTCAAATGAAACAATTCTTTAACTCCACGAAACATTAGAAAATAAGGCAGAAGGAAAGTATACCTTTGCCAAGACTCGACATCATTAACCATTGAAGAGGCAGATTATTATTAAATTTGCACTGTAACCTCAGTGCATTCTAACTATTGCATGGTACTCATTTCTCGGAGTATTGGGGTATTTGATAAATTAGGTTGAATGAATCTAATTTATGTAAAAGTGATGTTGAATTGTTTGACATTTTTTTTATTTCAAAATAGATACCTATTTGATTTAGTGAATACAGTGTTATAAAACAATATAAGTTGTCCAACTAACCAATTACAATTTTGAACTTTTTTTTACCTGTATTAACTAACTCAGTGATACTTTTATGATAATAGCATTCATTAGTAGATTATTATTTAATGCATACATTACAAAAATATGTCTGATATTAGACTTCAACCATTGTAGAATTAAAATTTGTAATCTCATTGTTTTCAACATAAATTCAGGCTGGAAGGAAAAATCTAAAAATTGAAGTAATGATGGAATAGAAAAAGTGGCAAGATATACTGTTCAATGGTTTTTCTAGTGGAAGCAGAACTATTATATTTTTAAATACTTGGGAGCTGTGATTGGGCAGGAGCCGTGTTGGCATTGCATTACTAGAAAGTTGTTGTCAATTAGAAACAGGCTGTATGAGGCTTCCATAATAAAGTCATTTTTTTTTTCACTGATAATCATATTGGGACTGTTTGTGTCATACAGAAAGACAGCTGGGCATCAGTTTATTTTAGTGCGCTGGTTTTTCTCAGTGTACTATATTAATCCAGGATATTTGGCTTAGGTTCAAGCCAAGCAAGGGAGGAAGAAAGAGGCTGTTAATTTAGTTTTCTTCCCTCCCTTTATTGTTGATGCATTTATATGCTATAGACACAGTACCTTTAATCTTAGAAAATTGATCTTATTTTTATAAGTGAACTTATTTTCATAGTGAACTTGAATTTTAAAATTTCTTTATCTTGGTGGCATACACAGGTTTTTTTTTTCTGGTTCCTGAATTTCAAAATCCTGATAAATCTTAGGATTTTCTACATTCTGAAGAAATAATAAGGTTTCATACACAGTTCATTAGTTTTGATTCATTAAATATTATAGCAGGTACACTACTACACTGGGAAACATAGTGGTCTAGAAAATCTTGCATGGTTTTGAGCCCAGAATTTTGTTTTTTACATGAAGTTCTATTCTAGTTGTTATCATAAAAGTCTACAGTTGATTGGTTATAAACAGTATACAGTTATATGGAAAAGCAAGGGTACATGTGCCAGTTACATTTGAAGTTATACACAGTTTTAAGGCTATGTATTTATTCTTTAGAAAATATGACTTACATGAATATCTGATGGACAGAATATTGACAAAATATACACATGATACTATTTTAACAAACTGCCATGCAACAAATACATTAATGAAGAAATTGAGTATATATGACCTAATCTATTTGACATTCACATTGAAAATTTACAACATAACCAGCACTTAAAATGATTTGTCTTATATTTGGCAGTTACTTCACTTTTTACAATTTAAAAACACTTCTGAATATGCATTTGGTGAAACTTAAGTCCTTTCTCTAGTCTGTGACAACCTGAGGTACTAAGCATTTCTCTCTTATTTCACTGTCTTCAAAGGTGAGTTTCTTGTTCCTTTTCGGATCAATCCAAGAGTTATGTATGACAGCATTGTTAGGCAAGGGGTCAGCTTCCACTATGGAAACAACTCGCTTTTTCATTTTACTTTTCAAGACCTTTTGAAATTTTTGTCTAGTGAATGCATATAAGAGGGGGTGAAATATGGTTGTCCCGTAAGCCATAACTAGAAAACACAATCTTAATTTTACTAAAAGGTCACTTGGGCCTACACATAAAATGGTGGTGTTTAAAACAGAAATTGGTGTCCAGCAGAGAAGAAATGTAGAAATAATCAATAAAGACATCTTGAAGACTCTCTTCTGCCTCTCCCTCCTTTCACGGTGCCGTTTCACAGCCCGCCGGAGGGCAATGATTACAGAGACGGAAGTTCTTACACCGAAGACCACATTTCTACCAGCACTGCTTTGCGACATGTCTGTCGTCTCGTGTTGTGTGGTTAGAGAAATTGTTTTTTTCTTTCTTGCTTTCTTCTTCTGTCCTGTTGAAAATCGTGTACCTATCCGAATGTTAAGAGCCTGAAGAATTTTGGTGTAGGTGATCAGCATGACTATAACCGTGAAGAAGAATATTGGGATCTGTACTAGCAGGTGGTAATACATTCCCAGTTCAGTGTAGTATTCATTCGTGCTGACACACAAAAGTGTTTTATTTGCCCATGTATTTCCACTTTGAAGACTGAAAAAATTGACCTCCATGAAGGGAATCAGGAAGGAGAAAAAAGAAAAAATCCAAATGGATATCATTAACATGACAGCTCTGCCCATTGTTAGAATTCGGTTGGCAGGTTTTACCGAAATATCGTATCTGTCCAGAGTGATGGCAAAAACGTTGATTGCTGTTGAGACACTTGCGAAAGATACACAAGCCTCGTGAAAACAGCAGATGAGAGCCGTGTTACTCTCCAGTGAGAGCAGAAGGATAACTATAGTTAGAGGAATACATCCCACACAAATTATTACATCAAGTACATGAAGATTCATTGTAATAATGTTACTGACAGAGTTGATTAAGTTGGATTTCATGCAGTAAAGTACCAATACGGTGAGGTTGCTGCCAAGTCCCAAAACAATTTCTAACATGAGAAATCCAGTGAGAGACACTTGAAAGCTTAATGGATATGATAGTGGTTGGTACATATTGGTGTTGATGTCATCAATGTCATCTCGCACTGTAATGTTAGATTCAGACTGCATGTTGATTTCCACAATGGGAGAAAAGCACATTCTTTTGGAGCAGTTTTTTTCCCTAGAAAGTGAAATAGAATAGACTATTTGATATTTGGCAATGTAAATGACATATAAAAACATGGCTTGTAAATTTTTTTTTGGTTACTTAATTTTTAAGTTAATGAACCATTAGTTGAAAATGTAAATTTAAAGCATCAAGGTTGCATTGCATTAATATAAGAAAAAATTGTATTTTCCTTTGGAAGAAATAACTGTATGGGGATTTTTCTCCTGAACTATATAATTATTTCATGTACTAAAAACCTTACTTGAGTTTTTCAGACTTGTTACTTGAGACCCGGATGTAAAGCTAAATTTTATCCTAGTGTTTGAGAACTTTGTTTAAAAATATTGTGAGTCGTTAGGAAATCAGTGCTATTTTAATATGTTCTAGATGACTATGGCAGATGTGATTTTCCCCAGGAGATTTCAGATGAACCGGACCAGTGTTCTTTTATAAAGATGAACTGCACAGAGCACTGGCTTTGTTTTGTTTTTAACTATTCATGTTCATTTATTTTTATGTTTGGAAGTCAGTAAGGTGTTTGGGAATATTTAGAGTTATTTTCTACAAATGACAAGAATTTCATGTATCATAATGCTGAACTTTACTATCGGAAAACATAAAAAAAGGAACATCATGGTGAAGTTGAAAGTTCTGAAGCTTGATAAAAGAGCTCTCATCATTCTTATGAATGATTGATGAATTTTTGTGACCACACCCTCTGGTGGAGGGAGAAAATGGAAATTTAATACCATGTTAACAAATAGCCATTTTTAAAAAGGTTTAAAAATAGTTATGTGATTTTGTTTAAGCAAAATTTCTCAAATTAAAAAATTAAATTAAGGAAAAGGAATATGTGAAGCCCTTGTTTTGAGGAACTTTTTAAGGTAGACATGACTTGTAAAACCATTTGTATGCATCATCCAGTGATTAATTTTAAAGAAAATTAAAGTGGCTTTTTTTTTTGGCTAATTTATGAAAACAAAGGGCTTCAGAATAATTAAACAGTTAAAATATCAAATTTTTGGCTAAAATGTTATTAATTCAATATCTAGATTAAAATACAAAGTCATACAACCACCTGTATTTTGGATTTCAAGTACAGCATTTCAATTGCAAAACCATATTAAAAAAAATACTAAAATCCATGTTAACCTTTCCCTTTCTGTTACCTTTGACAAGTTGTAAGACAGTTAATTATGTCAGCATTTATTTATTTAAGTACTTTGGAGAATTACCTTCTGAAACACAAATGATCACGTTATTCCTTTCTTTTGAACTGGGCATGAAGTATTTCTAGAGGCATATTTGTCAAGTAAGAAAAGGTCTTAGCTAACACCGGAATCTTACAAAAATGGAAAATTTAAAATGTGCCAAGTTTTCTGAATGGCTCGATTAAACATCAGTCTCTGTCCTATCAGGTAGATTTATAATGACATAAAGCAGAAATGTCAGCCTTGATGACAGTGAAGAACAGTGCATCCCCTAAGGAGCTGGGCTGCTCTTCTGGGCAAGGTTAAGCAGTGTGATGGGCGCATGCGGCTTCTCACCTACCTCTTTGCTGTTGCCTCAGGGGCCTCTGGCTCACTAGGACAGATTCTCAGAAACTGATACGTGATGTCACTGACAGATTTTAACATGAATTTTTACCTGACAACAAGGTAGCTGTGTTTTATTTCATACTTGTAGGAATTTTCATTTTCTCTCCAACACTTCAACTGCGTGAATTAAGAGATTTAGTTGGCTGCTGGATTTCTAAAGAGCAGTACATAATATTTGTGTTTGCTTTGCCTTAAAAAGTCTTACCCAAGAGGAACGTCCTCAAATGTTAGGAATTACTCTTCCCTTTGAGGAAATATATGATATTGTCTCTTTATTTTCCAAAATATATGAAAACAGGAAAGGAAATGGAAGCTTTTTAGCGTCTAAAATGTATTTAGACATCCTTTGTTACAATTGTAAATCTGTTTCTACAGCCGTCCTCATTATTTTGCAATGATTCCTTGATCACATAACTGGCTTTATATTATAAATCCAGTCCATGTTCTTTTGATAAAAACCATCTGTTATTTAATTTGGTTTGTTTGCATTAGAAGAGGATACATAATTGGTCATAAAACTCAGATGGAAAAATTCATTAGTCACATCCATTGATGTGAATATCTGAAGAGTTAGTGCAGAAAGCGCTAAGGCTTCGTTTTGCTTCTTGGTAAAGTGTGTCATTCTCCTTTTGGAAATTGGTGTTTCTTCAAGAAACAGTAGCTTTTGCAGTTGTGGGTTAAAGAATAAATTCTCCCTTAAAAAAATGCTCACCATTTTGTTTTCAGGCTTTCACAGTTGTGGGTTTTCCTTTCTGTGGTTATCCTGTGTAGCATGTCTTAGGAGACGCAGCGATCTGTTAAACTCCAGCAGTCATGCAGCTACATTGCCTGGTCTTTAACCCCTTAATGTCTTAAAATCATGTGTTGCAAGAATGTCTTGCAGTTTGTGGTACCATCAGCCTGAAGAAGCTCAGCCAGTTGCCTCCTTCATGTTGTCAGTTGTAAATAGTGAATTAGCCTGTGTGAGTCCTATTGAAAAAGGAAAAAAAAAAAACAAAAATAGGAAATAGGGAAATAAGGCTTCTGGTGATTTCTAATTTTTAAAAGTTAGTTTTGTTTATTTTGTAGCCTTACACTGTTTGTTCTAAAAATAAATATTGTTAGAACCAGTTATAGTCATAAAATTAAGTTTCTTTAAATAGTCGCTTTTCTTGCATGCATTATTATCTGTCCTAGCAATAGAGTTGAGATGTAATGGATCTAACAGCAAGAGAGAGCAAAGCTGTATTTTTAAAAACTAATTTCTCCCCTCCTTTTAGAAGCCCACCTGTGTTTTCAGAGATTACAAACAGTTAAGATACACTAACCATATTGTCATCCCCTTGTCGTCGTAATAAATTTAATGTCTTCCTGCTGTAAAAATATTATAGCTTGTTTAATTAGCACAGAGTTTGAATGTTAACTCACAAGACAGATTTTGTGATAAGATGCTTTAAATTTTCATTGATGAGTGCTCGTGTGGTTTGAAATGTAAGAGGTAAGATTAAAAAATAACTGTCAATTAAATAATTTTCAGTGAATATGCTCAGTAATAAACTTATCATATAATTGCATAACAGATAAAATGAGCTGGCAAACTTGGTTCTTTTAAGAATTATAAGCATTTTTTGAACCTTAGTAAAACCATACTGAGAACATTAAGAATAATTAGGATGTCTGAAATAACTGTGAAACTAATGTCTTCATTTGAATTAACAAAGAATATTCTCTGTATTTAACAATGTAGCTTGAAAAATTACATTTAAAACATGTCATGTCTTAATAGAAATCGATCTAAGAAATACATGTTTAGTAATAAAGAGGTAGAATTAAACAAATAAACTCTTCAAATTTAAGCTGGCATTTTTCAAAGTAATCTTACCCCACTATGCTGGTTCAAAGGCAGCCGTATACTATAATAAGGAACACATCTTACCTCTGCTAAAGATTGGATAAATTCTTGATGTAGTTGCAGCATTTCCAGTTTTGATTGATTCATTTTGTTCACTTGTTAGTAGAGGATTGGGGCAAGAGGGTCATAAGCATCTCTTCAGAAATGACCTTAATGAAAACGTGTGTCTGTGCTGTGCCATTGTTTCAGCCGTGCTGCTAATGTATGGAACATGTAGTGCTGTTTAGAGCCTGCTGCATTTTCTCACTCTTCCTACCGTGCAATCAATAGGCGTCTGAAAAGACATAATGAAAGTAATCTAACATACTGAAGGCTTCTCGTCTCCAGAGACAACATTTAGCTTCTCTCTCTCTCCAAAGGAAGCACTGCTTTTCAGAGGAAAGCCTGTTGAGAGCCGCTTTTGCAGAATGACAGCCTACCTTGTCGCTTCTCTCCACTGCAGGGAGATGCAGTGCCTTCACTAATTTTGATTGGTCAGTTGTATTGGGCTTACACTGTGCTTCCTATGGATAGCAGGGATTCCCACCCCCCCACACCGCTGTTTTATATAAGGATGCTTTTTAAAAAGACTACATTTATAAGTGGTTATATGTCCTAAATAGAATATGAGTAAATTTGTCTTTTAAAAATGTGTATTCTATTTTGGTTTGTTGGTCACTCATGCCAAGCATTATAAACTGCAGGAACATGTGGGGAGCAGGAGAGATTCACACAGGGAAAAGTATGTGTGGGTACTGTTTTTAAGGCCTTGATCATTGCACTTAAGAATGTTTCAGCCGTATGTATGTTTGTTGTTGTTGTTGTTGTTGCTGCTGAGATTCTTTGTTCTACAAATAGAAACGCATTGCATCTTCACTGTGGACTTCATTGAATTTCAACTAGTTTGCTTGTGTTCAAGTCATCTTCTCTGCATTTTTCAAATTCTTGTGGACATCCTAAGGAGTTAAACATTGCCATGACTTGAGTATCATTCAGCCAAGTATTAATTTATTCAGAATATTGATCAGATTTATCTAGAGTGATTTTACCATAAAAGAGTTTCTGAAAATTACTTTGCTTAGTATTGAGCATAGTTTCAATGTGTAAAATTTTAATCATGTCCATTACTTCAGTGAGTACTGCTTAAGCTACCTTTAGTAACTCTTATTTAGTAGACCTGTGCTGATCATTTGTGGTATTATTTCAGTTGACTGTTTCCATTTTTGAGGTTGGCCTTTTGTTAGTAAATTGTTACTTATTAAATACCTATAGCTGTATGCTAATATTGTTGATATATAGTAGTAAAGGAAAAACTTAGTTTCATGTCTTCATATATCACAACATTATTAGACACTCTGTTAAAATAATTAAAATGATGCTATAAACAGTAAACCTAAGTAGTAACTTAAGATTCTGTTAATTTTATTTACCAATAGGTAAATTTTAGGTTTGAATATATAAAATGGCTTGGTTTAATTTCTTTTGACACTGCAGATGGCTGAATTACTAGAATATTAATCATCATTTGTTTTTATTATATCAGGAATATTAGTGATCTTCATTTTTCCAAATGTTGTAGGATAAAATTACTTGCAGTTGGAATTATTCTCAGTTTTAAGGCAATATGTGCTGTTTTTAGTCTTCTATTGGTAGCATTCAAGTTTTAATGGAGAATGGCTGGCTAGGACATATTCTTTTACATTCTGCTTGTACATTCTTACATATTGAGAATAATATGGCAGTTTTATTGTGAATTTCTAAAATTTTATGCATGTCTTTGTATGGCCAAGCCTTGTCCTATTACTTGAAAATTGGGAAACGGTTCTTGTGGGATGCCGGCCATTTTGAAAGATGGCTAGCACACACATACACTGTCATTGTGAGCTTTAGCTAGCCCAGAGAAAACATGTTAGTTGGTTGAAACCCATGGTACAGATGAGGAAATTGTTAACGTAGTGGATATAAATATATATGATACTTTTATTTTTTACATTTATATAAGGTGCTTTTCTGTCACAGAATTCAAGTTTTTACTTACATTTATTGTCAGAAAGTCACCATACAATAGGAGATATGAAGGCAAAGAGAAATCTACTGACTTACTTAGAGACATCAAACTCAGTATTAGAATTCTGCAAACCCCCAACCCACTGGTTAACTGAATATTTCTTTTTCAAAAATTTAGAAGGTTCTTGGGACATAGAATTGAATTGTCTAGGTTCAGCTGCAACTTATTTTGTGTATCATCTCTGACACATCAGGCTTTCCTTGGGTCTCAACATAGCTCTGATCTTCTCTGGTCAAATACATCTCTATACTTGAACTCTTTGTGTAGCAGTGTTTTCTAAATATACACAGATTATTTTGAGTGAACAAGATGTGGAAACTCTGTAGGTAGCAATAGTCACACAAATCCTGAACTCTGAGTGCCACCGTATATTCCCTGTACAAGTATACAGTGCTTAATGTAGTTTTATTTCTTTTTAAAACCCACAAATTTAGTGATTGCAAAGCACTCTGAAATCTTCACACAGTAATCCTAATATCCCCTGTTTTAAATGAATGTTAATATTTGAATCACTGGATTGAGATCAGATTCTATTATTTTCATGAAAATAGTATCAAATTCATGTCAGAATATGCAGGGTTTTGTTTCCATAGGAACACAGATTCTCACACTTGTGCATTTAGTGTATTTTGCATTCATATAAGAAGCAAATGTTGAAAATGATATAGCATGGTTCATAACCAAACTTTGTAAGTTTAATAGGTTATATAGATGAACAGTTTTATTTTATTTAATAAATTTGGAAAAGTTTGGTTTCTTATGTTGACTGACCAATAGATAAGAATCTAACTCCTATACAGATCAAATAAAATTTCTCAGTTTTAAAAAAAGATTCCTTGGAGCAGATACTGTGGTTAGTAGAATAAGCAGTGTCCTGTGTGGGTGCTGGCTTAAGTCCTGGCTGCCCCACTTCCTACCCAGGTCCCTTCTTCTTCATTTGTTTTCTTTCTTTGTTTCTTCCTTCCTTCCTTCTCTGTCACTCTCTTCCTTTTTCCCTCCCTCACACCCATCTTTATTCTCTTTTTTTTTTCTTAAGATTCTACTTATTTTTATTTGAAAAGCAGATTGACAGAGAGATCTCCCACCCACTGGTTTGCTCCTCAAAATGCTGCGACAGCCAGTGCTTTACTTGTCTGAAGCCAGGAGCCTGGAGCTTCCTCCTAGTCTCCCATGTCAGCACAGGGGCCAAATGACCTGGGCCATCTTTGGTTGCTTTCCTGGGCACATTAGCAGGGAGCTGGACCAGAAGTGGAGCATCTGGGCCTTAGCTTGGAGCCTGTATGGAATGC